CCCCAAAACCCCAAAACCCCAAAACCCCAGCTTTAGCTGATTGTATTGAATGCTGCAGAGATATGCGGATACAAACTTATCCACTCTAACTAAGTGTCATACTATCATTCACTTAATAGATGATCAGATATCAGTTTGTTTTCTAGCAATGTTAGATTAGGAATCAAATCAATGAGTAGAGAACTGTTTGATTCTAAATTTTTATCTCTTGATAACCCTTCTGAAGAAAATTTGCTAAGTCTAAGAGTTAAGTTCCTCTAAGAATAAAAATCACTCAGGGTGTCTGAAGTTAAGCTAAATCTTAGAGCTCTTTTGAGAAACGGGAAGAAGCTAAAGTACCAATTTGTGGATAAAACAGGATTGATTAGATATCCATTAGAAGTATTTACCATTGGGATATATGATTCTTGTAAAGCCTAGATAAATTTTAACTCAATATTCACATTATGAGGAGACAGTGATCTGGAAGAAAAAGTAAGCTGAACCACTTGAATTTTTGATTTTTTAAGTTGCTTGTTATACTGATTTTTATAAGAATAGTGACCTAACAATCGAGGAAAGAGAGCAATTCACTAATACAATAAAACGGAATTAGAGATAGTAAGAATAATTTGAGCAATTAATCAAAGAAGAAATGTTTTTGAGTTCAGAAATGCATGAGCATAGCTTTTGATAGAAATCAGACAAAACTGAAGAAAAGAGTTTGAGAGATATTACTATCCAAATATTGATCCAAAGTGAACAGAATCTCTTCTCATAGTTTCTCTCCAACCTTCTAAGCTCCTAACAAAGGATATTTTGGTATATTTTGGATCTTAGTTTTCAGTAGAGGGAAAAATCAAACAATTGCTTAACAAGGAACACTATTTGCTCAAACAAACTTATTTACTCAAATCCATCAATCTTTTGCCCAATTTCCAAAATCCGAAAAGCCAATTCCTCTATTTTGAAGTCCTTTGATTTGCTCTTTGCTATATCTAGACTCTGAATTTATTACTGTCTTACCTATAAGCATCTCTATAGCATAAATAAGGTCATGTTTTTGGAAATATTTAAAGGTAGCCAACTTAAGGCATGATTTTATAGGTGAGGTTCGACCTTACCTGTTTCCTTTGAAATTTTACATTCTGAAGGATCTTCCTGATGTACAGGAGCTGATTTGCAAGTACCTAATTCTTCAGATTCCATTATTATTTCAATTATTATAAAAAGAAAAGGGGTTTTGGGGTTTTGGGGTTTTGGGGTTTTGGGG